CCGCTTGTTCTAAAAGCCGTCTTTGTATGACGAGTGGCCGTTCTCCAGGAGCAAGAATTCTTTGCAAATCATGTTTCCTCATTACAATCTGATAATTTTCCAGATTGTCAGCTTGGTAAGTCTTTTTGTTAAGCTGAGCCACCAGTTCCGTAACGGTAGTATTAAGCGCCGTGGCCAATGTAGCGAAAGTTCCGTCTACTTTGAATATTCTTATGCAATAAGGGCTCGCTTTTTCGTCTGCTTTTTGAGGAATACCTGCTTCGTCAATCTCTGGAAGTCGCGACATATTTTCATCATCAACTTTCTTAACAGCCCAGCTGTCTGGCGCATTCCACCCTAGGCCGCCTGCACTTTCGGCATCTGCCTTGCCCTCATCCTCGTGTCCATTTCCATTAAAGATGTTGTTGTCGAGTGGAGTCAGAGGTGGCGGCTTTGTTAAGATGCCTTCCATATTCGATAAATTGGTATCAAGGTGGTGAATACTATCCCCACCGCGATCTGATGTATCGTATGTTTGGTCGGTGTCCTCTGCGCGCCCTCGACCTTTCCGAAACGGCAGCTTGGGAAAGGCACCTTGTCGTCCGGCCGGCGGGCGAGCACCGCCATTCGTATACTGAGTTGTAAGGTTGAGCTCTGATCCATTGATGCTTCCATCTTGACTATATTTTGCGAGATCCGGCGATTCATATATCCTCCCTGCATCTTGCCGCGAGGTTCCATTTATCGGTGCCCGACTAGGTGCTGGTGTTTCTTTCAAGCGGGACGGTGTGTGGTCTTTGTCCTTGTGCCTCTTGAATCTACCGGTCAGATTTAGAAGACTCCTTTTCGTACTATTATTATTGTCTCTGGGTGAAGATGGAGCGTCGCCATTGCCGTTCTTGGTTGGTTGACTCCATGTACTCATGCCGCTCGGTGTTGGGCTCTTCGGTCGTTGAAGGTTAGGGTTGGAAGCGTTCGCCGACGCTGTGCCCATGGGATTATTCCGGTCCTTGAAGCGATTACCGAATGCAGATTCCTCTCTACTTACAGTCGGTCGCAAGGATCTAGTGTCATCATTGCTTCGATTACGTAGATGATGCCCGGAAAGATGATGAGATTTAGAAGACGATGAGGTTTTGGGTGGCTTATCCGAACTATCGTTTATGTAGCGATCCCTGTCGGGGCCGGAAAGGTTCTCTCGCACAGGAGCTTCTCCATACAGAGATATATCCTATATATCCTCGTTAGCTTCATGTGCATATTGGACATTTCAATGCATTGAATAAGGGTCTTTATTGCCATATCATTCTCAACCACGGATTGAGAGTCTGTAGAGAAATAAGAGCGAATTGACGAAGCGTATGATTTCATCTCAAGAGCATTGAGAAGATAAGAAATCGTGTCAAGAAGTGAAAGGCATGAATTGAAGATTACTAGTGAAGATCGAATTTACTGACCTGGGAATTCTGATATAAAAATGGAACTACTTCGCTAGATGGTACGGGTGTTCTAGGTCGGGATCCACCTGCTGGGGATGCATCTCTATAATGTCCGTGGTCTGTGGCAGATGAATGATTTCTGTCTCGATGACTTCGCGCAAATGAATGCGATCGTGCCTCCTTCCCTTGCTGCGATGGAAGGCTCGTGTCGGAACTTGTAGGGTCCTCGCCGAAGAAACTTGTTAACTTTTTGTGAAGTCCGCCTACCGCTCTGCTGACACTGCCTTTTGATCCAGTACTACTTGCTGTCGTTATACTTGCAACGGATGGTCTCCTCTCATCGCCGTCGCCAAACAATGCATCTGCAGGTGAATCGCTCGCATTTGTATTTCCCGTTACTGCAGTCCCGGGCCTTACAACCGGCGACAACTGTGAAGCTTGCGACAATGCATCGCTCGAATCGTTATAGAAACTCGTAAAGCCATTTGGTGAACCGGTTGCGCTGCCGCCATTAGACATCCAAGGAGCAACTTGATTTGAAGAGGCTATCGCTGTTGGTGGATTATGATGAATTTGAGGAATGCGCCCGCCAGAGGTTTCGAGGACTGCGAGATCACGTCGATAATTGCCGAAGTCGGCCATTCTTTGCTCCCGTGGGGATACATTAGGAGAAATCGACGAAGATGGAGATATTGTATTTCGAGGTCCGGCAGACGTCGGCGAAACTTGAGCATCAATTTCTACCCTACTGCCAGGCCAAATGCACGAAGCCGTTAGTTATGGAACAGGTTCAAAGCTTTGTCTCCAGGGCTAATGAAGGGGATTTGGAATGAATAATACCCATGTGAGACAACCATCAAAGACCTCGAATAAGAAAGAGAATAATATGAATAAATAAACAATGATTTCTTTTTCTCTATAAACTTTCAATTTTTCTGCTTACCTTGATCTATCCGTCTTCACCTGCATTGGAGCCCCTCTCTTCATTGATGAACCCTGGAAGTAGCCAGGGCCTTTTATGGTATCAGTAGATTTCCAACTTCCAGTGCTCGAGCTCGTGGCAGAGCTATTACGATATGAACCATCTTTTCTGGTCATATTTGACCCGGTATATAAGTTAGAAATTGTCCATTCGCGAAGAAATTCTTCGAACGAGGTTGTGATGCAAAGTGGAGGGGAATATTTGTGTGTTTCTTTTTTTTGGAGGGGTTATTGAGGGTTGAGGTGAGGTATAAGTGCGGGTGGTGTAAGTATGTGTGTGTATGGGTGGGTGTATGGTGGGTGTATGGGTGTAAATATAAGTCTGAGTGGTAACTGGAGAGATAGATGTGAGATCTATTTCTGGTGGATTATTTCTAACTAATATTTTTCGTGAATGCAAACTTAAACTTAAACGTGAACGAGCGAGGAGATTGAGGAAGAGGTTGGAGAGGAGAGGAGGAGATCGATGTTAGATAGGTAGGAAGTTGGAACTTGGTGGTGGTGGTGGTGGTGATATGATGGATGATGGATGATAGGATTTGCTCTTATGTTCGTTCGGTGTTCTAAGAGCCAATATGTCATGGCGGATTTGTACAATCTAGAGTAGTAGTAGAGCATGGGGTCGAGGTGTTTAAACCTATTAGGTCGTTAACTTGAGGTACTTTGCTTTGCCCGCAGCCCCACAGCTCTATTTTTTTTCTTTCTCTTCATAGTACTCCGTTCATTAAAGCATACTTCCCATAAGCAGGGAGGCAGGTAGGCAGGTAGGCAGGTAGGTAGACAGCTACTGCGATATATATATATACCCAGCACGCCTCACAACACAAAATATGAAATCAACCACATACCAGCAGTCATAGTAATGATAATAACATCAACCCATACACAAAGCACCAACGGAGAAACACGAAACATCAAACAAGAGCTAAATCAGGATTAGGATCAGATATATGTTGATGATATCAAAGACCCCTAGAGGAAAGGTGTAAATTGGGAACCAAGGTCGATTGAAATCAGTTCTACTGATTGATGGATAACTAGTAGTAGATGAGTTTGCTGTTTGCCTGCTTACAACCAACTCGACGATGTTGATACGATGACCTATGGTTAGGATTACAACAAAATATATATTGTGCCAATCACGCTAGTAAACGTTCAAAGAAATATTTCAACATAATGTACGCCAAAATAAACTAGATAGAGAGGCGTCGAGAAACCTGCCTTGAGTAGTCTGGATGATACAAGTCATGTAAAATGTATCTATGAATGCCTTCTCCGTATTGATACTCTTGTGCGTTAATATCAGCGGCGTGAACAGAACAGAACAGAACAGAACAGAACAGAACTTGAGCAAGAGAGCCAGTCAGCCTCCTGATCCTATAATCCCATTGAATATCTAGATCGGAATAACTCACACAGTAGCATAAAATGATTCTTTGTTACGTCCAGAGCTTAAGCTTGAGGCAAACTACTCTAGTGAGCTTCGATATTTTGGCCACTTGATCTCTGTCTATTGTATCCTTTGTGATTTTATAACCAAACACATGGGGATCTTCAAAAGCGGAATACGGTGCACGATTGAGAGGAATTTCGGGTTGATTTGATTGGCGCTTAATCGTCTTCTTCTTTCCTTCAATCACATAGTCATTAGACCGTGCTGCATGGAATAAGAAAATCTGCAAATCTGATCACACTGCGCTTCTTCACATGAATCAATCCTTATCCATCAATCATCACAGCGCTTGTCAAAGCTATAAAAAAAAAGTATATTATTGATTCATAGGGATCTTGGCTCTACACAGGAGAAAAAAGAGAGGCCAAAATTGATCACCCCAATAAATTCTACGATAAATCAACCGATAATAAAACTAAAAAAAGTTATTATCATTCGAGAAATCCTTGAATAATCTTCACTCATAGAATTGTTTTAAACATTTGGAACAATGGGTGTAGATGAAATTCTTGGCTTCACTTCATTTGAAATTTGGGCAGATCGGGGCAGTTTGATGACCGGGAGGCAAACACACTTTCGGGAATCGGAAGAGTGACTCGGAGGCAGGACACAAAAAGGTATTGAGGAGTGCTGGTGCTTCAAGAATAGGTGTCTGATTGTTTGTATTGCATCGCATCGCATCGCATCACATGGTTGGTGATATGCATAACTTGATCGGGAGTATCGTACTGTACATGAAGATCGATAGTCGTGTACAATCTAGATTGAATAGCGAAGATCTGATTCTCATGTAGACAGCTATCAAGAAAGCTACACCTAAGTAAAGTACCTATCTATATTTCAGTAAGATGATCCAACTTTCAACCAGTCTGGTATATTAGGAATCAATGTACCCATCAATGTACCCATCTACAAGGTCCCTGTCAACAGGCGAACAGATGAAGGGGCTCGGGTATCATAGTAGCTTGCGATTGCGGGCGCTGTAATTCCACCTCCCGTTCTTTGAAACGATCAATGACATCCAAAGTGGAATGAGTGGAATGATCTTAGACATTCAAGATCGAACTTCCGAAATGTATGATCCAACTATTATTTCAAACCTTTATCTACATTTCAGACCTTTATCCAGATTCTACAAGAACAAAGAATCATTTCCGAACATCACCGGAGGTAGATTCCGGTCTCAAGTTGCTTGAACTTGGCGTGTGTGTGCTGGTGATAGCCATGGCAGTTATGTGTCTTATGATAGCAGTGGCCATTGTAGTCACCATCGCTGCGGTCGCATTGGATGATTCCCAGCTTATACATAGCCTGATACATATCAACCACCAGCAGTTCTTTTTGATAGTTAGACCTTACCTGTTTCATCGTAGGAAGGAAAATACTCTGGCCTTTCCATCTTGTTCTGAGCCAACCTAATTTGTGTGATAAACATACGCAAGACGACAAAAGATTGCAGTCGTATTGAGGTGTTTCGTCTGCTTAACATAATTAGAACAATCTCATCTCTCTCTACTCGTCAGGGGATACGAGATCTCTGGGGCCCGATTTATACCCGATCATTAGTAAGCACTATGAAGCACGACACGTGACTGTCACAATCAAGTTTCATACCCCATATTCTAAATCAAGCTTGAGCTTTAGGCTACCTAGTACATATAGAGAAGTAAACAAATCCCTCCTCCTCCAAATCTCTTCTAGACCACGAGTTAGGTCGTGTGTCCCGAGTACAGCTCCAACCTTACTTCCTCAACAACATAACTCGCAGAGATCGAGTTCGGTTTGAGGTGGATATTTTCCCCTCCTACACGCATGGAATCGTCGGTATGCTGCGATCATTTTCGCAAAATACTACCAAGGTGACAAATTTGACATGTGCAGCTGGGCGTTTACAGCAATGCTCGAAGATACATATACCACCATGGAGACCTGCATCACCACTAGATGAGTATGAATATGAAGTTTCTATCCGAACTTTCGTATGTTTTTGCTGACCATGCCAGATGGGTAGCAAAAGATGCAAGACCTATTAGTCTGCGCCAACTTATGGTCTTCGGACGATCGTTGACGGAAGCACGGCTCATAAGCTCTGCGAACTATGTGCGAACAGAGCTTCCCACCAGGTGAATAGACACTCTTCCTACTGCTTCCATAGCTTTGATTGACAAGGGTAGATTAGCACATCGTATACGAGACATGCAAACGCTCCCCTATGTCGTCGTCACCAATCCGCATATGAGTCAGGTCTACGAGTTATACTACAAAGCATTTGAGAGCTTACGAAGAGTGCGTGAAATCAAGACACTGGACGACAACGACAAGTTGTGCAAAGTCATTAGCAGTACCCTACAAGAGCATCTTACTGTCATCCCAAAGCTAGCGATGGGCGTGTTGGAATGCCGAGATCTAATGAATCCTTCGGAAATGGACAAATTTATGAACACAATTTTGCGATCGAGAATATCACGACGAGTTATCGCGGAGCAACACCTGGCTTTAACAGAGACCTTCCATTCACATTGGCATTTTCCTGACGGGAAACCGGTGGAATCGGAATTTGTGGGCGAAGTCTTCTTAAGGTGCAATGCAAAGGAGGTGGTCGAACGGGTGGGCAGTGAAGTTCAAGCTTTAATGTCAGCTACCTATGGCCCCTCCACCATAATGCCTGAAATACAGCTTGCTGGACATGTCGAAGCTACATTTCCATACATTCTAAGCCATCTAGAATACATAATTGGTGAACTACTACGAAATTCCGTGCAAGCAGTCGTCGAAAAGCAGAGAAACGGCCGAAACAAAAACCAACCACCTCCCCCTATCGACATAACAGTCTGCGAAGCGCCCCAGCATGTGATAATCCGAGTATCAGATCAAGGAGGCGGTATACCTCGAGATATCCTTCCATACCTCTGGGCATTTAGTAAAGGACCTCGCAGTAACCAACGTCTCGAAAACCTCAATCAAGTACCAAAAATGGCGGCTACCATGCAAGAGCTACGCGTAACAGACGAAGCCCCCGGGTCGCAAAAAACCAAACGAACAGCGGCGACGGCAGCAACTATTGGAAACGTAGGCCCCAGCTCTACAGCACATGAAACATCCCTCTCTTCACTCACCAGTCGCCCTCCCAATCTCCGTCTGGGTATGGGTTTACCATTAAGTCGAGTCTACGCCGAATACTGGGCTGGGAGTTTAGAACTACACAGTTTGGAAGGATATGGCTGCGATGCATTTTTACAGATTTCGAAACTAGGGAACAAGAATGAACAGTTGACAATGAGAGCTAGTATGGATGCTATATAGTAGGACATGAATTTTTGAATATACCCGATGTGGTTTTCTTTGCACGCGATCATGAATATCATTAAAGCAGACTTACACTTTTTTCTCAGCTTCATCTAGGCGTTAAAGTTCATGGATTTGCGACGGCAATGTACAGGCAGTCAGACGGTTGAGGTCAGAGGGTTATACACAACACAGGAGACGAATTATGAGGAGTAGCAGAAAGTATAGTGAGCAAATTATCATGAAGAAGCATGAATTACATCGTGGCTAAAACTAGTGGAAATAGAAGCCTCTCATAAGAAGCTATTTAAAATTAAGAAGCCTTCTGAACGTTAACTGTCGAAGAAAAAAGAAAACCACATGTTGCAGAACGACCCGTTTTGCAACTCTCTCTGCATCACCTGCCATCATATCATCCATACTCGGGTGCCCCCGATACATCCTCACAATCCAATTTTAAATTAGAACATCCTCCCCTACGCAAGCCTTATTTAACGACGACCGTGACTGCGAGTTGCGGCATTGCCTTGCATTTGTTCAAGTTCTTGTTCTAGGGACTTGATGGCAGCATGTGTACTCTCCAAATCCTTGTTCAAACGGTCACGCTCACTGATGAGCTTCTGCTCCCATTGTCTGAAACGGTGCTCCTCAATCTTGACCTGCTCGGTGAAACGCTTTCTTAAGCTCTCTTCCTCTTCCTTAAATTTGGGGTTATCAAGCTTCCTAGGTCTAGCTTCACCGAATTTGCGAGTTTCCATTTGTTGGGCGCGGTAAGCCTCGTAGTGTGCTTCTTCGGTAGTGTGGATGAGATCGAGCATGTGTGTTCGGATGAGAATAGATCTCAACTTCTTGAAATCGCAATGGTCTTCGTTCTCAACTTCAGCAACACCCCATGCGTATTGACGACCCTTAACGATACGTCCATCACTAGTCTTGACATCCTTCTCTGAGCCAATGACTGCAAATGGCATAGCAGCCATCAAACTTCGTGCATGCTGAGCAGCAGCTTCATCATCTTCCTCGATAGGTGGTGTGTAGATCTTGATACCTTGTGCTTCAATGACAGCTTGGATCTATAGATAATATGTTAGCTTCGACAATGATATTTATTTCCCGAAATATACTATACCTTTTGCTTATAACGGGCCAAATCAGCCGGGCTTAAGGTATCGGCCTTAGCAACTACTGGGATCAAGTTTACTCTTGAACTGAGTCTCTTCATAACCTCAATGTCGAGGGGCTTTAGTGTGTGGCCAGTAGGTCGGATGAAGTACAAGCAAGCATGTACACGTAAATCGATCTTATCAACACGGCGAGGTTGTTGCTCTTGCAACATGTAGGATTCATGTTGATCGTCCAAAAACTCAATAATTGGCATCCAGGAGTCGCGATTGTTGACATAATCTCCAAAACCAGGTGTATCAATAACAGTCAAACGAACTAAGATAATGTCAATAATGGCCAATAAATTATCACAAGTAGATTGAATGTGTTGAATTCCATACCCTTGAAGAATTTCTCTTCTAATTCAGCCTTTGTGATTTCAATCTCAACAGTTTTATCCACTTGCTTTGCGTGTCTGCGTTTGTGATCGGCATAGTTTTTGATTGTGGTAGAGAAAAGGGTATTAATGAAGGTTGTTTTTCCTAGTCCAGATTCGCCAGCAACCTACAAGAGATGGTTAGTATTAAGTTGCTGAAAGTTTTGGGGACAGAATAGAGAATCACATACCATAATAGTGAAGGCAGCACCTCTCTTTGCGACAATCTTGTGTCTTTGATTTGGTAAATTCGCAATTCCGATGGGGGAAGCGCTTTCGGCGGTAGGTGGTGCCATAGTGATTATTATTTACTGAATTCAAAGATTGTAAATGTTCTTGAAGAAGAAGAGATAGATGGAAAGTTTGTTGTGATGCCTTTGAAAATTAATTGTTGCCCGATATTGCTGTCGGTGGGTTTGTGGTTGAACGAACGGTCTGGTACTCAGGAGAATAATAATCGTATCGCTGGGGTGAAATTCGAAGTACAAGCTGCCCCTGGGAATTGGCTGATTCCTTATTTCGGCTAGAGAACCCCCAAAGGCCAAAAGCCACTAGAGAGACTAACTCGCACTAACAGTTATTGGTTAGCTTACAATGGATTGCAGATCGGATTATCTTTTCGGATTAATTAATTGAAAAAAATCCAAATCCATGCATTGCGATAAGATTTTGAAGCTCAGAAATTCATCTCCAAATATTAATATGCCATTAAATCGGTAACAATGAAGACGGAGTTTAAGGTAGGGTCTATTCCTTAACTTGCTGATATATCCAGATAGAATTGTCACTCACTGAATACTCAATTAGTTCTCCAATCTCTTAGGGACTGTTTACAGCCAAGGAAACCTTCTCTTCAGTCCAGATGGATCATGTCTATTTTCTCCAGTAGGAAATAGAGTCACAATTTTTGATCTATTCAAGTAGGTTATACCCCCTTAGGTGAACAATGATATACTGATATGATTTCAGTAATAAGTCGCATACACTTCCATTCGCACATCGAAAGAATATAGCAAGATTGGGACTTGCGCCTCGAGGAAACTTATTACTTTCAATCGATGAAGATGGCCGCGCGATATTGACCAATGTACCGAGACGAATTGTCCTTCACCACTTTTCTTTCAAGTCAGCTGTATCCGCCATATCGTTTTCGCCATCTGGACGCCATTTTGCTGTGGGAGTTGGTCGGATGATCGAAGTATGGCACACACCCTCAACACCAGATACAAATTCAGAAGGGGAGTTAGAGTTCGCGCCATTTGTTAGGCACAGAGTATATACCGGTCACTATGATACTGTTCAAAGCATAGAATGGTCGAGTGACTCCCGTTTTTTCCTTAGCGCAGCAAAAGATTTGACAGCCCGGATATGGAGTTTGGATCCAGAAGAAACTTTTATACCTACTACATTGGCGGGCCATAGAGAAGGTGTTATGGGCGCATGGTTTTCGAAAGATCAGGAGACTATTTACACATGTAGTAAGGATGGAGCAGTATTTCAATGGGCATACATACGGAACCCCAATGCACCCGAGACAGAGGATGAGGATGAAGATATGGAAAATCCTGATGACGACTCGCACATGCAATGGAGAATCACGGAGCGACATTACTTCCTACAGAACAACGCTAAGGTCAATTGTGTTGCATACCACGCCGAAACAAATCTTTTGGTCGCCGGATTCTCGAATGGTGTATTTGGACTCTACGAAATGCCCGAATTCAACATGATCCATACTTTGAGTATCTCACAAAACGATATTGACTTCGTCACAATTAACAAGTCTGGAGAATGGCTCGCATTTGGAGCCTCGAAGCTGGGCCAACTCTTAGTTTGGGAATGGCAATCAGAATCATATATCTTGAAGCAACAAGGCCATTTCGATTCAATGAATTCCTTAGTCTACTCACCGGATGGACAAAAGATTATTACTACTGCAGACGACGGAAAGATCAAAGTCTGGGATGTGAACACTGGTTTCTGTATAGTCACTTTTACAGAGCACACCAGTGGAGTTACGGCTTGTGAATTTGCGAAGAGAGGAAATGTTCTTTTTACATCAAGTCTTGATGGGTCGATAAGAGCATGGGATTTGATAAGATATCGAAATTTCCGTACTTTTACAGCGCCCACTAGACTTTCATTCTCGTCCTTAGCAGTCGATCCCAGTGGCGAAGTCGTCTGCGCGGGATCTTTAGATTCTTTTGATATCCATATTTGGTCTGTACAGACTGGCCAATTATTAGACAGATTATCAGGCCACGAAGGACCTGTATCATCATTGGCTTTTGCGCCAAATGGAGGTGTAGTGGTAAGTGGAAGTTGGGATCACACAGTTAGAATCTGGTCCATCTTTGACCGGACACAAACGAGCGAACCGCTTCAACTTCAAGCGGATGTATTAGATGTTGCATTCCGTCCCGATTCGCTACAGCTTGCTGTCTCAACTCTAGATGGACAGTTGACATTCTGGTCTGTTTCAGAAGCTGAACAACAATCCGGTGTTGATGGCCGAAGGGACGTTTCAGGTGGTCGAAAAATAACCGATCGAAGAACCGCCGCTAATGCTGCGGGTAACAAAAGTTTCGGCTCCCTTAGATATAGCGCAGATGGATCTTGTGTTCTTGCAGGTGGTAACAGCAAGTACATATGTTTGTATTCGGTAGACTCTCTTGTCTTATTAAAGCGATTCACCGTCAGCGTCAACCTATCCCTATCCGGGACGCAAGAATTCCTCAACAGCAAACTTTTGACCGAAGGTGGACCAGCCGGTCTGATCGATGAACAAGGCGAAGCCTCCGATCTCGAAGACCGCATCGACCGAACTCTCCCCGGATCAACCCGTGGTGGAGATCCTTCCGCCCGCAAAAGACTCCCCGAAGTCCGCGTTGCCGGTGTGGCTTTCTCTCCAACCGGAAGATCCTTCTGCGCAGCCTCAACAGAAGGTCTCCTCATCTACAGTCTCGACACCATGCCCCTCTTCGACCCTATTGATCTCGATCTCGCCGTCACCCCTTCCTCCACCCTCCACGTCCTCAACATCAAGAAAGATTACCTCAAAGCCCTCGTCATGGCATTCCGTCTCAACGAAGCTCCGCTCCTTCGTCAAGTCTTCGAAGGTATCCCACACCCTAACATCGCCCTCGTAGTCGCTGAATTACCTGTCGTCTATATTCCCCGCTTGTTACGTTTCGTAGCTATGCAAACAGAAGAATCTCCCCATCTGGAATTCTGTCTTCTCTGGGTCCAAGCGATCCTCGTTTCCCATGGTCAATGGGTAGGCGATAATAGAATTCTAGTAGACTCAGAACTGAGAATCGTAGGGAGAGCAGTAGGCAGGATTAGAGATGATTTGAGGAGGTTGGCGGATGAAAATGTTTACATGATTGATTATCTGCTTAATCAACCGGTAGAAAAGGGAATCGAGGGTGCAGATGCGGGAGAGAAGGATATAGTGGTAAAAGATGTGGATATTAATGATGATGATGATGAGGCGGAATGGATTGGTCTAGATTAGGTTGTATCATATTATATGGAAGGAAAAGAAATTTAAATTGGTTATTGTACTCATTCTCATTTTTTTTTTTGAAATCTTTGTTGTGTGTGTGAGTTGTCGCTCTCGTTGTTATCTCTCGATTTCGAATATCGCTGTGTATTCGTTGATCAATTATAAGATACACACTCTGCGCTTTAACCTCAAAGTCTCGTCAAATTCTATGCGGTATATAGATTTACATCTCTATCAAGTTCCACACCCCTATCCGTACCTACCCAATGCACACATCCTCCTCCCTCAAAAAAAAAAGTCATTGTCAAGAAATCATTCATCAACCGCTCTTTCTCTTCATTCACATTCCAGTTGCACGGGGAATTCCATATCATATAGACTCATAACTCAATGTGATTGATAATCCGTATGTATAAATGCATATATAATATGTACATTTATATCTACTATAAAGTGTGGGTATCATCCAACGCGTATACCAAAAGTGACCGACCTGTGTCGGAAGTAGGGATATCCAGAATGCAGGGTGTTGTATATAGGCATCCAATGCATCCGCTATGCTATAACCAGAATGCCTGCCTATCCATATCCAAAATAAAAATGCCTTATAGGCAAAGGCTTTCCATACTCATTGCAATCATGTATTGCAGAGAGGCGACCGATCTCAACTCCATAAATAAGGAGAGATATGCAAATATTCACTTCATCTGCAAATATCCGCATACAAAGCCGCACACTAAACTGTACCCAAGCGATGACGTGCCCAGATATCAGCCTCGACACTCTCGTTGCCTTTCTCTAACCCAGAAATTTTCTCCAGTAAACGCCAATCACATGTCTCTATCCAATCACGTTTACCATTTGATCTCGTGAGCTTCAGGGCACCGATTTGCTTCATAAAAGCAATTGTTAGATCTATTCTGCCATGTTCAATAAGGGCAATCTTGCGGACTCTTTTTCCAGTTTTGGGGCAGCGTTTTGGGAGGACTTTGCGGGTTAGGGGAAGTAAGGAGGTGATGTAGGTGGCGCCGTGGGATTGGAGAAGGTCGATTAGCCAGAGGTGGGATGAGATACAGGGAGACAGGATAAATATTGCGTTATGGAAAACACAGCTGGTTGTTTGTTTGCATTGACCAGTGCCGGTGAAGATGGTTTGGGCAAGAGGATCAGGAGACTTTGATTTCTGTAGAGACCTTAATTGCTCTAGGGACATCCGACGAGATCTATGGGTGGGTCTAGTCGGTGTCTTTTGAGGAACCTCGATATTTTCAGAGCCTATTAGCGGAATCTGTTGTGGTAATGACTGCATAACATTTAGGGACGACGCTGCAGAATCAGACAAAACGAGAGGTCTTAATCGTCTTGTTGACGGAGGCGAAATTAGTTGTAGGGACTTGTTTGATCGTGCGACTGATGGAATTGGTAGAGTTTGGATGCCTTGATCTTTGGTAAAGGACCGTTTTGGTTGAACGACACTGGGCATAATAATTCCTGTATCACCTCGCCTTCGAATAGGTACAAGATTCTTGACATCAAACTTAGCCTTTACCTCCAGATCCCGAGGAAAACTCGTGTGAACTGCTGTGACTAAAATATCAACTGGAACCTGGAATCCGAAGTCTTTATGGATAATACGAGTGAGCCATTTTCCTTGAGAGCTTTGAAGCCTCGAGTATATCTGCCCAAGACGGTCCCAGGTGTCTCTATCACTGGGATCTGCAAGAGATCTTATAGTAGCCGAGGACCCTTCGTTCTGAGCAGCAATGGTGATTAGTGTATCCTCTATCTCTTGCACAGTGACTTTCGTATGTCCAAAAACTGTCTCCTGTGAAAACGTTTTAGTAAATTCGCCATGTAAGTGTGTACATCACATGAAGGAGCCCCTGATCATACTTTACTCGATTGGAACGCGAGTCACGAGAGTCCATTCATGGGTAATTTCAAGAGAATAATTTCCCTCCTGAACTATTATACTGACCTGATTTGTATCTCGTCCTATATACTTCATGATACATTGTACACGATAGCCTATATCATTCCTAACTAAACCATCACGACTAGCCTTGGGATTCCACACAGGTATCAATGTCCCATCTCCCTCTTCGAGCTTTTTAAATGTGGCACGTTGTTCGACAGTCATAAAAAAATACCTAGCAAGGAAGCGTTCGAAGGCTACTTTGTGGATGTCGTAGTCTCAATCATCCAGGACCTCTGGTTTGAGAGTAAAGAGAACCGAAGGGTCGTCTTTGTGCATAGCATCCAAGGTATCGCGATGGAGTTTGAACCAACGAATCCAAGTATCACTCACCTTCTCCTTCAGAGTTTTGGGAAGCAATGGTGGAAATCTGCAGATCAAGCCCTCGAGTTCATCTAGGAGTTTACATACTTTATAGAAAGGTAAATTTTTCATGGTAAGGAAGTATGTTAAGCATAAGCAGGTGGGATAAGGTGTGCTGTGCTGATGAATAAGAGGAAGAATAGTATGAACGATAGGATGGATATGTGATTATGTTCATATTTTGTAAGAGAGTATGGTTGCAGATATGGAAAAATGGATGTGTAGTGATATCTCTTTGTTATACACTAGTTTAAGTCACGTCGAAACTTTGCTGTAGCAGAAAGAACACTAGATAGACTAGGAGACACGAAAACAGCTCGAAATCTCGTGATCTTGATGCTTTCCGTCGGAGTTTATAAGTTCCGACTTATTACTTATTTGCTTGCTGCTTTGATCTCGAATTTCCCCTTTCTAGACTATAATTATATTGACTTGTCTAAATTCAATCAAGAGTTCATCTCATTTGTTTGATTCTTCATTCTTCATCCACTCTATGAATGCCATCTACACAAAACTTCAGGGTTGTTCCAAACCCATCCATCCCCAGAATTTACAAGGACATTCATCACTTCAACCCAGAATCATACAACTAATAAGTACCACCAGTGCCTACCTAGGCAACCCAAGGATCAGCTAACATAATACTGTAATAATACATAACTATAAACAATAATAATAATAATAATAATAATAACAACAATAACAAACTCAACTCAAATAGACAAACCTCGAACAATTTCAACAAATATCTCCTCGAGACTGGAGTGAGACTGGAGTAAGACAGAAACGTTGAAGTCTTTCCTTTCCTGTCCTTTCCTGTCCTTCACTTCGCTTGACTGCACTTCACTCACAACACAACTCATCTTTCTGTTTCCAAAACCAGTTTCCTTCTTGGAATGATTGCGTATACTTGCATTTCTCTTGTAGGATGTTTATGATCAAAAATCTCAAAACATCGACAATCCGACTTTCCATTTCTTTATTCCTCTCATCTCTGCCTTCTCTTGTTCGCTTTCATACTCCTTTTTGGCTATTTGTTGACATATCGGCTCCCCTACCGACCAAATGCATAACGATTATTCGATTACGATAACACAAACATAAACACAAGAATTTCTTCAACACTGAATGCTTATATTCAAAATTACCTTCATTCCACTATTCTGTGATCATTATATATATTTATCCTCTCCAATATGCACAATGGATTCATTCCACAACCGAACAACCTCAATTGATCGTGCTTCTGTTGAATCAATTCTAACAGGGGCCGATCAACCTACTGATGTACCAAGTCCCCATATTGGTACTTCACCCAATAGAGTAAACTTCTCTACAAACCATCCACCTCGACCCATTGTACGACCAGATCGTGCACTATCTTATACATCAAGAAGACCAAATCGACTTTCGCTAACTTTCCCCGTTGCTCCAAGCAATGGCCTCGAATCAGTCAGAGCTACTCCAACTTCATCAAATGCTCCGTCAGTTCCCGGCACACCTGCAGATCCCAACGTGATCCTATCGCCAAATGATTCAAACGGTTTTCTAGTCGCCCTAGCTAGTCAGGAAAGGAGGGTTCTCGAACTTAAGGAGGAGCTCGAAAAAGCCGAAACCGAACTCGAGCAGTTGAAAAAACAATGGGCGAATCATGAAGCAACAAAGAAGAGAGCAGAAATTCGCCATGTCGAAAAGCTTCAACCTGTGCAAACGGAGCGTGGGTCCGCTGATGAGAACGTACTTACGACCCCAAAACAAAGTATGGATATGGATCGAAAGAAAGCTTTTCTTGCCAATCTTCCTCACCTACCAAAAGATCAGAAGAATCCACGCAGGAAAATCATTACTGGTGGTCATACTCGTACACTTTCGCTCTTGTCGCCGGAAAGAATGACGCACGACTCTACACTCCCCGAATCGAACGGAACAACCTCAGTCGACCTCCCAAGAAGCACAACTATGCCGGATACAAGCATTGGTATCTCTAGGGTCAACACAAATCGAGCAAACAAAAATTCATACCAAGGAGGACTAGGAGTGACACATGGAGTGAAACAGATCACAGAAGATGTTAAAGCTGGACTATGGACTTTTCTCGAGGACCTTCGACAAGCTACAGTAGGAGACGAAGCGGTTAATGGCACGGCGAATAAACGATCAAGCTTGGATGCATCACAACGTGGACTCAATAAGCGAATTAGTAAGGGTAGTTTACGTGGACGACGAGGAAAATCACCAAGACCAGATCCATCATCACAAAGAACATGGGATTCCTTAACCGGTGACAATCCCGCTCTACTAGATTTAGGAGGCGCATTATGGCAAGACCCTGATACTCTTGCGGCACCCATGAAACCCACAAACGTTCAAAAGAAACGCGCAAGACCAATTTCCTTTCCTACTGCTACCATCGACGATGACGATTGGTCAAATTGGGATTCTCCAGCTCCTAAATCGCCCATGAGATGGAGTGGTAGTTCTACATTATCCGGTCCAGTGACTCCTGGAAATGCAAGCGGCGAAGATGAAGTAAAGTGAGAATTTCATTTTGTTTCTGGCAAAGGAATAATTGGCTAACAATACAATCATAGCATTATGGACTCGAACAACCCGCCAGACTCGCCCTCAAGAAGGGATGAAATCCCATGGCCTGCTCTCGATCAATTGAAACCGGGTAATCTCAAGAAAACTGTATCTACAATGATGAATCAATGGGAGAAAAGCCTTACTCCACCTCCTGAAGAAGCAACATCTGAAGATTTTCTTACCGGTTCTCCTCGTGTTCAAGGAGGACGAGAACGGAATGGAGCCAATTTTGCCGAGACAGATTCTTAATGTATAAAGTGGTTGGTTGATATCTCATGATTAATTTTTCCTGCGTATAATTTCTGGAATGGAACGAAACGGCTGGATAGCACGAGATGGGATCGGTAGGAGATCTGAGATAGATTGTTGCTTTCTACCCTTGGTATTAAGATAGATCAGACAAGACCAGATGTCTCTTCTCTGATTGATGATAGATGATTTTGATGAAGGAATGAAATGATTTTATTGCCTACCTTTGTTGTTTCAGTTTGTTGTTTGTTGTTGCGGTATGGTGTTCAGGTAGCGAGGGCATAAATGTTCAATCATCAATTAAATTAGATGTCACCCAATTTCGAAACTTGAATAGATTGTGTAATTTGATTTTCAATCTCGTTGACATTTGTTAAGTGTTGTGTGATCTAGCGATCAAACTGTAATCTTACTATCGAAATAGCATAGACTATCTACAATCCCATCAATGTGGGAAGTATTCTAATTCTTATATCTTCAGAATCTAGCTCACATGACTTCTACGTAATCAACCAACAACGTCCCATTTCCCCTTAAATCTTAGGACTCTCGCTCAAAAATCCCTCCGCAACCGCCTTGATCAACTGCGTCGCAATGGCCGTGACAGATGGTAACCTCAAATTGCCCTCCTTATACCCCTCGCTAGCCGGTTCTCCCAACGGACTCGTCCCATTCAACAACGCCTCCCTAATCTCCTCCATCTCAAACCACTTCGCATCTTCCAATTCGGGATCATGCTCCAGATGAATCTTCTCTCCATCCGGCAACGCCTGGGCAATGGCACCAATCATCAAATTCGCAGGATAGGGCCAAGGTTGCGTGCTATGAATAACGACACGACCGAGTTTCACGCCCGATTCCTCCCAGACTTCGCGACGTACGGCTTCCTCGACCGATTCAGCGGGCTCGCAGAATCCGGCGAGCGCGCTGTACCAGTATTGCGGCCAGCGTTTTTGGCGGCCCAGCAGAATGCGCTTGCCGTCGTGGCTGACGACGGCCATGATGACGGTGGGGTCAGTACGTGGGAAACAGAGATTGGAGACGCCTTTGCGGGTTGCACAGGAGGCCCTCTGGGTGGGGGTTGCGGAGTTGGTTCCTGCTTGGGCGGTGGGGAGAGAGGCGAAATCGGTGGGGGGACACACGCGTTTGGTGCCTGCGTTGATCTGGGAGTTTGTTAGTTTTGGTGGGATTTGAAAGTTGAGATGTTGCTTTTGTTTCTATCTCCAAATAGAGTAGGGGTAGATAGAGTAAACTTACGGAAAGTGTAGGTTGTCCACACCCTCCACAGAAAGGATTCCTAGCATTCCAATCTAGAAGCGCTCGTGCCTGGGCAAAAATCGCAGCTTCCTGGGCGTCTAGACTCATCAGCATTCTCCCCTCTTGAAACACCAACCCTTTTTCCTGCATGGCTTTCACCACGCTATTTGCTTCGTTTTCGTATGTTCCTTTTGGAGTCACATCGATTGCAAAATAGGGAATCCCGCTGTAAATCCCATGTTTAAATCCTTCTTTCTCTTTACTCCTCTCATCCAAACCCAGGAAGAGAACTAAAGGTAATGTCTTTGAAGAATTAAACTCTTTAATCATCGTCTCTTCATCTTTCTCAAACGGGTTCTGTCCCGTCAATCCCGTGATGTCGGAGTGAGAGGAATAGGCCAGGTGACTGGGATCTTTAGTCAGCGGAGCGAGATTATTGAGAAGGAGGAAATTGGTGGCGGGATGCGTGAATGCGCTGGAGATGAACTCATGGTTTGCGCGGAGGAAGGAAACGCGGTTGAGGGGCGAGCCGGAAAAGTAGTTTGCTACTTCGCGGCCGAATTTACGGGTTAGCATGGAGTCGACGTCGGGGTGGGCAGGGGATGGAAGAGAAGGTTCGGGCATGGTTTGAATATGGTGGGTATAGGTGGTGGCGAGGAGGATGAGGAGGAGGATGAGAAGAGTGTTGTTGAAGAGTGTTTTTGAAGAGAGGGGGTTTATATATAGTTATGTTTGAGAGTAAGGTTACCCGAGGAGAGAGAGAGATGGATCAAAGCTACAGAAAGGAAATAGTGGGGAAGCTACTCTGTCTTTTATCTAAATTCCGACCCTCGGGATTTCTAAGCCAACACATTTCGATTTGATAGTCAGCCACTTATGGTTTAGTTAACTAGTTGTTCATTCAATTTGTTTGTTACCACTGCCGGAGTCATCTTGAGAAGATTGGATTAGTATTACCAACCGAGGGGTAGTACACAATCTCTAGATAATAAATAGCCGTGAGACTTTGTCTTACCTTACCTTCGGAAACCCCTATGTTTCTTGAATTCTCCGATTCACATCCCTCCAAAGCGACTTCCAAACCTCCAGATTAGAACAATGACAATGAGAGCTGTTCCAAATTCCATGTATTATCTGTAAATACATAGATAAATAAATAAATAAATAAATAAATAAATACTGACGTCTTCCCTCCTTCCCCCGCCGAGTTCCGTCCAGTATCCAATTGCCAACTACCCCAGTCCCGACACCTGTAATCGGCCAAGTATCCGCATCACATGACCATCATCAGTCATGTGAGTGACAAACTACGATTCAAACCTTGCTTTGAGCAAAGTATCTTTCACCGTGATTATTGAATACTCCAGCAAAATCTTCAAAACACTATACCAGACTTTTCACTTCATATTTCGCTCTTTTGCTGCGATTAGGATAGCAGAATATCAGAATATCAATCGTTCGAGAAGTTGGCTCGAGTTGACAGGATTGCAATACTTTTTTTTCGTGTCTTACCATTACTAGAGAGGTTTGGTAGACCGCCACATGCATGTACATCAGATCATATTAGAGTTGGGTTAGGATATCGAGTCATCTTTTTTTTCTTTCTTTCTTTTTTTGCTTTTTTGAAAGGACAATTGGGAGAGAGAGATAGAGATTCTTTTCACAAGGCTTTCATTTTTGGGTTGTTCATATCTTGATTGATATATTTACGATTCTTTTGAAATTGGTCTAGACAGAACGAAAATTCAAGATGGTCCCTCCGACTCAGAATTTGAATTTGGATATTACTGCTATATCGGGGATATGTGGGTACGTATCAATCGAGTCTTGGTTTGGGAAATTTGGATAAAGGAAATGCTAATGGGAACTAGTTCGATATCGATTGCTTGTTGGATAGTGGTGTTTAGTCCTCAGATTATTGAGAATTGGAGACGAGGTTCGGTGAGTACTTTCATTGAGATTCTGTTTGCAAGTCAATTGGGTTTTTAGAAGCAATTGAATGAGGGCGATGTGCTAATATCCAATAGGCTGATGGATTATCTCTCCAATTCATTATTATATGGCTTGCCGGTGATGTTTTCAATATCTGGGGTGCTGTGCTGCAAGGTGTTCTTCCTACAATGGTAAATGCTGTCCTATAAATTTCACGTGATATCAATATTAACGTCATTAGATTATCCTCGCCGTATACTACACCATAGCAGATATAGTTCTTCTAGGTCAATGTTTCTACTATAAGGGCTTCACCTGGCGTGATGAAGTTAAGCCACCACCACCACCACCATCGCCACCCAAACCCACCTACGCAGCAATAGCAGCTAGTACACCCAGCGAAACTACAGCTCTCCTCAATGGCCTGGAGAGAAGACATAGCGGCACGTCTATCTCAGCTCAACATCTTTCTCCCGTTGTTCCACTTCTCGACCCTTCTTCTAACGATGCGCCCGCCACCAAGAAAGCCAAAACTTCCCCAATGCAAACATTCCTCTTCAATTTCTTCAGCATCATTCTCGTCTGCATCGCCGGTGTTCTCGGCTGGTGGATCTCCAACTCCTCTTCCGCCCAATCCCACAAAACACACGATAAACACTCATCCACTCACACCAGCCCAACCTTTTCTCCCCTGGGACAAACCTTCGGCTACCTCTGCGCCATCCTCTACCTAAGTTCTCGAGTCCCCCAACTTCTCCTCAACCATCGTCGTAAATCTACCCAGGGAATCTCAATGCTTTTCTTCCTATTCGCTTGTATTGGAAATCTGACATACGTCCTTTCCATCTTCGCTTACGAAGCCCCCTGTCTGACAGCCTCGAGACATGGTCACTCAAAGTGCGAAAGTGGCGAAGCACGATCCGAATATCTTCGCTATATTGCTGTAAATGCGAGTTGGTTAGTAGGGAGCGCGGGTACGTTATTATTGGATGCGGGAGTTTTTGTACAATTCTTTTTGTACGGTGATGGAGAGGGAAAGATGGTGGAAGAGGAAGTGGCTGTGCAAGGAAATGGGGAGACGAATGGTGTTGTGGCTTAATAAGTCTTTGAGTCAGGGGAGAAAAGTGTTGAGCTGTAGTGAGAATTGAAATTGAGTAAGTATCGGAAGCTCGATGAAAGGGGATGAGGTGTGATGGTTGTGGAATATTTATGTTACTATGTACACTACACATGGGACGACGATTTCTTACGAAAATGGAAAAAAGGATAGGGTATTGGACGGGTGAAATAGGATGAATTTGCATTTTAATTCTGGGCACAACAGCATATATAAAAAATGGGTGGCATTTTGCAAACTTGTATCATATCTAAAATTGCATCAAGATATAGATAGATATCGCTAATGTTATATCGGAGCTGTGGAAGTAACACAATATCTGCTTTTTTTTTTCGTGATTGTGGATATCGATGTAGAGCATACGGAATTGCAGGACAGGCACTAGAGCTATTTGTCCATGAGGCGTGAACGAGCAGATTGAGATTGGATAATCAGGTCGTGATATCGACGCGGGAATCAGATCGTAATCGTCGAGATTCTCGCACCAGGAGTGAACGTTACACAAAGTGATGTAAGTACATGCCACAAGACAATTGCATGAAGTGCAACCATCTGAATTGGGAAAGTAGGAATCGAATTCGCGAGATTAAATGTGAATATACCAGAAGTCATTCGAATCTTTTGCAGACTTCAGGTGATCGTGCCGAGCCCGAGGTATCCAGTATAAAGAACCCAAATAGAAAATATTGAAGTATATCGCTGAGAGAATGATCTAGCAACGAAGGAGGCCCCTTAAGGGTGACAATACTCCTACCCTAAAGAGTAAATGACGAAAGAAGATTGTACCTTGTGGCGGATCCGAGAAGCAAATTCCTGCTCTGTTGATATCTTTCGCGAATGGCTATAGCAAGATCATCTGTTGTTAACGTGCAGCATTAGCTGACTTAAATAGGCTCGTTGAGGTAATTTTGTTGCGGTGGATTAACGGTGTTGGTCAAAATAACCGCTTGGCTATTTCTTCCAAATAAAGTGTAATTTCGAGGCTTGGGAGAGGTCGTTTTGATATCGAAATTGCAGGATTATGATCGACGATGAGAATGTCCGAATCATACTCTATTTATGTTTATCGAGTTTTGAATCGCTTCATTGGGAGTTGACGCCATCGAGTAATACCTTCTCATGTTTACCATTCCTGCCTAAAGTTTTGATGTGCGTAACTACCTGCCTACGCTGTGCCACTGCTACTGAATAACATATAATATCAGACATAGAAAGCCCGAGTAGCTGACAAAGTTTGGCCACCAAACTCGATATCAGAACCGCAAAAATGGCGAGTGTACCAAACCCAACTCTTGGCAACCCATTTTCACTAAATAAACCAAAGGATCTAGACATCGGCATTACTCCAGATGAGATGTCTGAAGTAGAGCGATTGTTGCATTATTCTTATGCGACAATCTCTGAGGAACCATGCTTTTTTACGTTTCGTGGGCTGCAAGTACTTAACATTACCCACCTCCAGCTGGAATTAGCAAAGAAAAAGTGCCGTAAGGACAGACAACGCAGCTCCTAACACCGATATTCAAGACCTAGCTTCAATCTTGCATCAGTATGGCAAGCTTCCACTTTTGATGATAGTATCTCTGAGGTCTCAGTAACACGCATTTTAAGCCGAAGCAATTCGAGATTATATTTTGCTCTCAAGCCTTCAAAATATCGCCGGATCCCTAGCACAAGAAAAGTGTCAGGATCTGATATATGCCTTTCCCGACATTGTCCGCATACCAGGCGACTCATTTCATTCAGCCTACCGTCGTCTCCCAAATCATTTAATGATTCTAGTCGACCCTCTAAGAAAATAGCTCAGAGCGCGTCCCCGATCTCAACTGACACACACCAAGCGCGAGCAACTGTTCCGTACCGACGAGTATCTCAAAGGCGAGCCACCAGAACAAGTTTCTCTCTTCGTCTCTAAACTCACACGATTTATAATCGCCTTTACTGGTGGACCAAGTCTTTTAGTCTCCATGCTCATTATGAGAACTGGGAAAATTTGACAAAGAGTCTAGTAACGACGAGTATAGCTGTGGTAACCTTGTTATTTGCTGGAATCACAAGTCTTGTTCTTCGTGCGAATAACACGGAAACAGTCGCTGCAACTGCAACATATGCAGGTGTGCTTGTGTTTTTTGTTGTCACAAGTGGATGATGGAGTGAGTTGGATATTATGACTATTGGAAAAGAATTTGAGACATCGCTTTTGGTCGCGACGTCCGTTTGTGTACCGTCACGTGGGATATCTAAGGTTAGGTAACGATTACTCATCCGTCTTTCTGACCTCCATCCGATGTGCTCACCTCATTTCACGCAATGAACCCTCTTCTCCAGAGAATCCTACTCTATCAAATGCACATGATACCGCGCGCAAGTGCCGCCGCGTGTAGGAGAGGTACGAAGTTTGGACGAGAACGTTTATTATAGTCTCAACAAGACATTTCATGATTTTCTTAACCACTTTTCCGGACCGTGGATCTTCCTCTAGCCCCATCAAGGAAACGGGACTTCCCCAAAACCTCTCTCCTGATTCTAATACAAGCTTAATTGGGCGACACTAAGTTTTAGTTCGTGTTGAAGGTGTCTTTTCAATGTGATTCCTGGCGCGTTGTGGTACGAGATAGGAGTTCGTATTTTTGACTCTATCCTAAAAATCATGCTTTGTCGCTCTTGATAGAACTCTATTCTAAAATGGTCTGGCCCGGGTTCTATGATCGTCATCCAGCATCATTGACTCCACCCTCACATGTATTTTAGCTCCCCTTTCCGTGGGAGATCGCGGCTTCTGAATTAGGCCTAAAATGGTCTTGGAATTGTACGATTAGAATGGTGCTTTGGCGGTTCTTCGATCTTCTGGAGTATAGATACTTTGTATTCCTGGTTTCTCCGTGAACGGTTTCCATTTTCAAATACCACTTTTAAGTTACCAAATACACAGATTGCGGTTTCTCCTCTCTTCTATATACTATTCATAACATAACTATTCACAATGCCTACCGTGCACGCTAAAACCGACCCAGCAATCCTCTCGCAATTCGAAAAAGACATCAAAGACGTCCATCTAATCTACGACTACGCAGCGCAAGACGCAAACGGAAATCCCGAAAAATGGAAATATGAAATGTAACCCAACTCCCCTATCTCTATCCCATACCATCTCTAAACTCCACTAACCCCCCAGGTACTTCGCGCACCCCACCCTGATAATCTACGCCATCCACGGGGGACCCATGGCCGGTCGCATCAACTATCAACGCTGCTCTTTCCAGTGCATCCGTCCCGGTGCTCTCTGGCAATGCAACTGGCTCGAAGAAACCGGAACCATCTGTTCTCTCGTGTACGATATCCCGAATAAGAAAATCAGTACCTTACTTGCATTTTCGCAAGGACATTGGGAAAATGCAAAGGAAGCACATGGAGATAAGCGAAACTCGGAGGATTTCGAACGCTGGAGAAAGTTGGGGAAGATTGGAGGTCCAACGGATAGGTATATGTTGAACGAGCAGGCGGATATTCTAGAGGCTTATAAGGGGAAGGGAGATTTGGAGTGGGTGGAGGAGGATGTGGAGACTATGTGAGGAGCTGAGCTGGTGCATATCTTCACTTTGATGATTTTGACGGTCAAATACTAGTGTTAATGTCTTGCTCGTTGAAATCATTTCAGGGGCGATTTTGTGTGTGAATGAAAACATTGTGAATACCTAGTACAGTTGGTGCCACAATTTACATAAACAACGCCCAAAATCTGTAAGAGCATCAGTGTAGAAAAGCCCAGCAATACATTTCAGGTTATATCATTATTTGTTTGTGTGTAAGAGTATATTGTACATGGAAATGACCCATAAACGTTCCTTCCCATCAGACCAACGCCCCATCACCGTCTATGCTCATGCCAATTTAACCAACCATTTTGCGCCCAGAAGGAATAACTCTCTAATCTGCAAGCTTCCTCTTTTGTCGCTCTCTCTCCATTTTCTTGAAGAAAGCAGAACTCTCTCCTTTGTTCTTCTTTAGATCTTTATTTCTGCTCCTATTTTGCTCAACATATGCCATATCTTGTCCACCAGCCAAATCCGCAAGTCTGCCCGCAGTTCTTCTGACATTCGACTTCTTTTTCGGTCTGGGCTTGCCGTCGTTTCGATGAAATAGATCATCCCTGAGATCTTCCTGGAACTTCTCCTCGTCCATGTTGTGAAGCATGACGTTTTGTAAAAGCTCTCTTCGATCCTGAGGCGTGTTGAATGCAAGACCAGGGAGATCCTCAATACCCTGGAGATGAGTAATGGCTTTGAACGCATATCCTTGGTCGACAAGAAATGCTTGTCGTTTTGAAGAATAATACATCTCTTTGGTATCTTTTGAGACTAAAGAATAGAAGAATGCATTGAAACCTTCATCGTTTCTACGTTTGGCTCTAAGAATTCTGCCCAGTCTTTGTGCTTCCTGTCGACGGGAACCAAAATGAGACGAGATTTGGATAAGACATGTTGCTTCAGGTAAATCGAGAGAAGTGTCACCAATCTTCGAAAGAAAGAGTGTATTGATATTAGGATTGTGTTGGAAATTCTCCAGAATTCTAAGACGTTCGGTTTGAACCGTGCCACCATAAATGAAAACTTTCCCTAACTTTTGAGCGTAGACGTGTAAGGCGTAAACATTGTCAGAAAATACAATAATCTTATCGCCACGCTTCTCATGATAATCTATCAAAAACTGACACGCCTGGAACTTCCGAGGATTCATTGTAGATATCAAGCCCTGCTTACGACTAGGTGCTTTCAAATACTCTGAGTGAAATTCAGTAGTCATTGGGCACCAGACTTCGGCACATTGAACTCTAGCAATGTGACCTTGAGCTGCGAGTTCCATCCAGTTGGCTTCATACAATTTGGGACCGATCAAGAAGTTCAAATCTTCAATTTTATCATCCTCACGAAGTAACGTAGCCGTCAAACCTAGCTTTGAATGAGTTTTGATCGATGAGGTGACTTTTCTGAAAATTTGAGCAGGGACGACGTGAACCTCGTCTAGAAGCATCAGTCCCCATTCTCTGCTCGTCAAGAAATCCATCATCTTTTGGGCGTCGAAAGCTCGCGCACGTGTTTGCGTGACCATAGAATAAGTTGTGACAATGATACCCGTACTCCTTGTAAATTTCTCTTTGTGGTCCGAAGTAAATACCGCGATATCAGCTGGATTGATGTTGGACCATTTTAAAAATTCCTGTCGCCATTGAACAACTGACATAGAACTTGTGCAGAGGACAATGACGCCCTTCTTGATTGTGCAAGCCGCGGTGATACCAACTAAGGTTTTACCAGCTCCACAAGGCAACACAATAATACCACTCTTAGCTCGACCATTACCAAACATTTTACTCAAGCTTTTCTCCTGGTAATGTCGAATTTGGGCACTAGGCCTCAAATCAATCTCGAGATTTGGATTGACTTCATCATTGCGAAAATCGTATTCTTCAAGTACGGGGAGTGCGAGGTCTAGGCATCGTTTTTGTACCGCTTCTACGCAGTTATCAGCAATCTCAAACGAATGAACTGCCTCTTCTTCGTCGTCATCATCGTCCTCTTCGTTAAGCTTTGCATAAATATCATCCTGTGTAGGTTCTGGTCCTGCTTGCTGTCTATCTGTTACACTCTGTCGCCTATCTCCAGTTTGTTGAACTCCAGCTGCATTCTTTGTTCCTGGAATAACCAAGGCACCCATGCTAGGTGCTATGGTTGTAGTAGTGGACCCTTGGACCCTGAGCGGACCAATTATAGGATCCGACAGAAGACGTTGTAGCAAGTCAGGATCTGAAGTTTCGACATAATGTTTTGTATTCTTCAGGACCAGCTTGACTTTGCCATAACTCTGAGAACAATTGATGATGAACTTTTTAACATTCTCAGGTATGGGTATCTTGGAAAGACGATCAAGAACATTAACAATATCCTTTGGATCCAAGCCAACTGATACAGCGGCATATAAACTATGAGGTGTTAAAGCATATTCGTGTAAAAAGCTAGGTCTCGACTTTGGCTCTGCTATTGTAGTCAGGAAATCTTGAGCATGCGCTGCTAGTGGAGAGAAACTTTCTAGGATAATGCGCGCCTTTTCAGGATCTATCCATAAAGGGCGATTTGCGTGATCAGGCTTTAGTGATAGGTATGAAAAATCGTTATTGCCAAAATGGTGACTAGCAGAGTCCCTAACTATTCTGGAATCCGCTTTTGGCCGGTAACTCTCTGCTGAGAATTTATTAATAGTATTTGCAATACTGGCTTTCTCCTCCTCTGTAGCTTCTAGACCTTGACGTTCAAGTTCGTCAACGGTACCATCTTGATAGTCATCATCACTATCACCACTGCTCATATTACTACGAGGGGTTGCAGGTCCTGGTGTAGAGACAGCAGAGTCTTTGTTCGATTTGGTAGAGCCTCTCACACCTGGAAGTTGTTAGTCATTACAAATTCATATTAAAGCAAGCATACAGCCTCATACTTGATGTGGCTTTCCTCTTTG